AGTCACCCAAGTGGAGGGTGCACCCCACCCAGACACACACACTTGTGCAGAAATTGTAAGAACCCCCTTTCTCGCCCTCCTGCAATATCTCTGTGGTGCTGTCAACTGAGCAAGCTTAACATTCCACACACTCTGAAGGAGAAGCGCTGAAAGAAATCTGATGAAGGGGTATTTGGAGATGAGACACACTGACAATTGCTCAGATGACTAAAATCCATGCTCAAAGTTTGATCCTATGATCTGCTTAATTATTATATTAGTTTAATTCTGTTATGGTTGATACACTGTGTCAACTTGGGGAGTCTAGAGGTTTGGCTAAGTGACTCAGCAGGAAGCCAGGTGCTTACTCTGTATACATCCTGAGCCTGTGGAAGAGGAGGGCAAAGATTATGTGAGAGCTACATGCCCCTTAGGTGGGGGTAGCCTGTATACGATGTAAGGCAGGGAAAGAGGCTGCTTGCAGCCATTCCTCCCTTTTGCTCTGGCTGTTTGCTGTTCAGCTTCCATTCCCCCTTGCTCTTGTTGCTTTGCTACCTTCTGCCTCAGAGCCAGCCAAGTATGGACTGAAACCTCCACAAACTGTAAGCTAAATAAACCTTTCCTTCCTTCATTTTGGGCATTGGGTATTTTGTCTCAGCAATGAGAGAACAGTAACCAAGACAAATTCCTAGCACCGACTGTGGAGAAATGAGGCTTCATGCTCCGAGAAATTTCCCATGACGAATGTCGTAGAGCCTCCCTTGTCCATGAAAGGTGTCTCTCTCTCTCTCTCTCTCTCTCTCTCTCTCTCTCTCTCTCTGATCAGCTTGTTCCTTGCCTGAAGGATACGCCAGGACCAGGTAAGCCAGATTTCTTCATGCCCCACCTACCACCCCTCCCTGCCTCTAGACCTGAACCACAGTCAGATCCTCATATGCCCTGGCAGGTAGGACACAAGGAAGAGTCTGGGGTGGAACACAAAACACACCCTAACTCTGTAAGGTTATGCTCACTTATGCGCACATTCTGGTGAGCGTGTATAGACATGCACTGCTGAGGCTTCCAACCTGTAGAGCCTGGAAATGGAAAGCTGAAGTAGGGTCTGGCTGACTGAAGAAGGTATGTTTTCTAGAGATCTGGGGTTGGTTTACAAGCTTGGACAGCTAAGGGTGGTACTGACAGTTTGCTGCATTAGTAGTCCATACCAGGTGAAAATGCGATACCAGAGATTAGCACAATATAATGGATGGTTTGGAATGGAAATGTTCTCACGTATGACTTGTTTGCCTTCCTCCTAATGTGAAAGGACTCCTGAGACACTCCCTTTTCCAAGACCTCGAGATATGCACTGGTACACAAGGGTCATCTTCTTGATTCCAGGGTGTGGGAGAAGTGGTCTGGATCTTGTTTGCCAAGATTTGAGTTAATGAAATGCTTCAGTTTGGGTAAGTGTTCTCCAAAGACTTGGTCATCAGCTCATGGTACTCAGGAAGTGGTGGGTCCTTAAAGTTAGGGCCCAGGCGAAGGAATAATTAGGGGTGCCTGAAGCAGATACATTGAGATTCTGCTTCTCTATTATCTTTCTCTTTGTCCTCCAACTACCATGAGGTAAGCAATTACCACCGCAAAGGACTGACTTGCCACAAGCCCCAAAATCAATGACGTCAACCAACCATGGACTGAAACTTCTGCAACTGTGAACCCAAAAATTATTCCCCCTCCCAAGCTGCTTACCTCAGGCATTTTGTCACAGAGATGGAAAACTGGCTGATATTGGAAACTTCTCTGTAGGTGGCATATCATCATCATCATCATCAGGCTGCTGAAGGAAGAACCAAGAGGAAGCTCTGCGGCTCCCTCTCCCTCTCAAAACAGTAAATAAAGCAGCACTATACCTCTGGGAAAATCACAGAATTAGGACAACCATCAGAGAGCGGGATGTCAGTTACCATCAATCTCTATCTTAGGTGATGGGTCTTGTAGAACATCAGTGGGTAACTGCAAACACAGTTAAGTGACTCCAATTACAGATGCCATTCCTGATGTCACCCTGATAGCTGCCACTGCCCGTTATTCATCTTCTCAGGGTCAGTGACAAATGCCAAGCTCTGCATGTGTTGCCAAACCCAGAGGTTCCAATTAGTCGCCTGCTAGTTGACTGCACTAACCCTTGAGTTACATAACCCTGCCCAGGAGGTTGCCACTAGGCTTTTCTAGACTCAGTGCTAACTCTGGGGAATGGATGAAGATGAAATTTATAAACACTCACTCTAATCTGCTGACACCTTCATACCAGAAGGACTATAACTATACCTGTTCACATGTTTTCCTTTCTTTATTTTATTTTCTGCCCACTCCATTACTTTCTATGCACTGTGTTCTGGATGAACTTTAGGATTTGCTCCACAGAAAATAGAATTTCAAGATGACAGCATCAGGACCAGTGCAAGAATGGCCATTTCCAGAGTGCCTGGTGAGACTTAGGATGATGTCCTAGTTAGGGGTTAGGATGAGCACTTGTATTTGTTTAGGGAATGCTTGCATTATGCTTGTGTCCCATTTTCTTTGATTTTGTATATGTCTGTTTGGCATCCATTTCTCACAGAGCCAAACTAATAGCCAAAGCTACTTCATCTCCTGTGATCTTTAGCTTTCAGAGGTTCAAAAATCAAGGGCCCTAGTAAAGGCTCTGGGCCACCCTTGTCCTTTTTTCCTCTGTGCCTCCTGACTGCCCTGTGCTTCTGCATGGACCTACATGCTCTTCCCTGGCTCCTGTTTCTAGGGATCTGTGAGTCTAAACACCTTCCCTGCTGACAGGCATTCCCGTGTCTTTGTGTCTTAACCACAGATACAAATTTTAAAGCCATTAGATATAAGCATTTTTTTTCAAAGTGTGATTATGGAAGTCTGAGTGTGCATTCTTGTTAAGAGACAAAGTACTGCATTTGGGGGCTCCTAGCATTTATACTACTTGCAAATATTTGGATGTTGTCCACCCCTCTTCCGAACAGAAGCCCAAAGTCCTCAACCCCTCCTCCCTCTGCCTTCCTTGCATCTAGTGTGTGGTTAATCATCTGAGCCTGTCCTGACCTTTGAAGAGGAAGCTAGCAGCATGAAAGATGAGGGACAGAAGAGAATTAATTGTGGCAGCAGTGGTGGCAGCGGTAGGAGTGGCAGGTTTCCAGGGACAGCAGTGGAGCGAGACCAGTGATGCTGCAGGGCTTTACATCCATCTCTGCTGCAGCCGTGCCGGCCAGGGAGCTGGGCTGGGCTGGGGCTGGTGGTGCCCGGGTCCCATCTATCGCCACACGGGTCCTCCAGCTGCCTACCTGCTGCTGTGAGCCACCCACCACCCTTCAGCAAAGCTGTTTCTACCAGACTCGTCTATATTGCTTACAACCAAGAATCCCCATTCGTACAATTTACGATACTCTTTTTTTTCTTTTTTCTTTTCTTTTCCTTTCTTTTCTTTTCTTTTTTTCTTTTCTTTTCTTTTCTTTTCTTCTCTTCTCTTCTCTTCTCTTCTCTTCTCTTCTCTTCTTTTCTTTCTTTTCTTTTCTTTTCTTTTTTCTTTTCTGTTTTCTTTTATTTCCCCTTCCTCCCTTTCTTCTTTCCTTTCTTCCATCTTCCAGTCTCCAGTTGAAGTATGTATGCATCTAGCTTCATGTGTGTATATGTAAATATGGTGCAGTAATAATGCTTGTTCATTATGGGTAGTGGGAATTTGAAAGATTTATGATTTGTTTTCTGTGCAGTGGTACCTCGGTACTCATGCAATGAGTATAAAAATGAGTACTAAAACAAGTTGCTTTTCCTGGGGGTCAAGTCATGAGGTAACATCAAGTTCTAGCTTTTGCATTGATTACCAAACAGACAGGTACCAGGACAAGATTTTCATGTCACGATGCCTCGAGCATCAAATTCAATGGGATTCAAGTTCAACGAGTTTCAAAGCAGCCAAGGGCCAAGTTATGACTGTATTCTGTATCTTTCAGTTTTCTCAGAGATGATACTGGCAATTGTATGCACGTGTGTAGGTGTAATGCATGTGCCCGCGGGCCTGTGTGCATGCATACGCTGTGTTCAGCACCAGTGAAACACGTCACCATGTTTGTACCAACCCACCCCTCAGCAAGTCTGTGAAGCAGCAGCCATCATCCTCTTCCTCCTTTCACCTAAGAGGAAATTAAGGCAAAGAAACTTTAGAGACCAGTCTAAGATCATGCAGCCATGAAGGAGTAGAGCCAGGCATCAGCCTGGCTGTCTAAGACCAGGGCCTTAGCTTTGAACAAAGTCAGGGAGCTGAGATAACAAGTAGCTTGATGGGAAGCAGAACCCAAAGAGACCTTTGGGGTGGGAAGGAAGCTTGTTCAGGGGCTGAGGGTTAGGAACTGCAGGGCAGCAGGGAGAGGCGATCAGGTGGGAACAACTGGGGCTAGTTAACAGGCAGGGAATTTCAGGACCATGGGCTCCAAGATCCAGGATGCTGGGTGTGATGCAAGACAGAAAGGGGCCAAGAAGTCATTTGTGGTCTTGAAGGACAATGCCCCCACTTTTCTAGACGACAGAAGCCAAGGTCACCTTCACTAAGGCTGGGGCAGGGGAAGCAGTCAGGCAAGCAGCCAAGTCAGGTGCAGTACCCGTGGTCCTGCGGATGGCTGGGTGTCCCACACGGGAGAGAGAAAGAAGGAAGTGTTGCTGGTGGCTTGTGTCTCTGTCCCTACTCTTACTTTACTGAAACTTCTATTGCTGTATGGCAGACAGTGCCGAGCCCGAGTGAGCCTCACTGGAGGTGAACTGAGATTCCAGGTCATGACCTCAAAGCACGCGGTCTTGGTCCTTCAGAGCAGAGAAGGAGGCATTGCAGGACCACACAGAGGGGAGGCAGGGCTGTGTCTGTCCCTGCTGGACACAGGTTGAATAGCCACAGGCTCCTCCTCCTCCTCCCTCCAGAGTGTGTGTGTGTGTGTATGAGAGAGGGAGAGACAGGGGAGGACAGCATCTGTGCTCACTCCGCCGTGATGCCTCCTGGGGCCGGGCGTGAGTTTCCCCTGGAGTTGCTGCCCTTGTGCCGGGCTCTCCGGGACACCCTCACAGCAGCTGCATGATGCCTCTCTGCCTCCCACAGCCGGGCAGCCCCAAGAAACAGGGTCCCTCTGCAAAACTTGTGCAGGAAGCCAACCTGCCTCCGCCATAAGGAGCCCTCATCCCGGGGGGGGGGGGCGCTGCTGACCCCTTGGGCTGCAGTGCCTGCCTGACCATGCTATGAAGTGACCGAGCTCCATTCTGCACCTGCCACTCCCTGCCAGAGGGGACTTTTGCCGGCTGCCCTGAGTCTCTAGCCAGACTCCTTCCCTGCATCCCTTGAGTGCCCTGTGTTCTTTTGTGGCCGCAGGTAAGTGGGCTGCTGGGAGTGTCCTGCATGTGGGAGATTTCCTGTGGGCACTTAACAGAGGGTCGTGTCAGAATGGCAAAGGCTGCCTGCTCCAGGGAGAATTTTAGCTTCCTGCTTATCCCTGCTGGGTGTTTCTAGCCCCATGAGGGTGAGACACCTCTGATTTGTTGTGGATGTTTCAGTCTCAGAAGCAGTGGCTTTCTGGCATTGAATCCGTGTCTACACCTTAATTACTACCATTCCCTCCTTTGCTCATTTACTTATTAATTCAGTAAATATTCAAATGCCTAAATGAAGACCAGCAGACAGCAGTAGTACTTATTAACTTAGAAGGTTCCAAATCTTCCTCACTGGGATGAGGGAGGCTGGAACTGGTAGAGACGATTCCTACCTCAGCTGGGGTGAGTTGCTATGTGACCTCAAGAATTCCATCCAACCTTGAGTGGTTAAGTGTCTGTTATCATCAGGTCATCGGGCAGAGCATCAGTGAAAGTCAGAAGTGCACTCTATCCTTGAAGCATCTATTTAGAAAAGAAGAGATAGTGTCATTTTCCTGAATAAAGGGTTTTCTTGTAGGGTGTGTAGTGACATTTGTGGAAGAGCTGGGTTCCTGTGCTTGGTGGGTTGGGTTTGCTTTCTGGATGGCACAAAGGGGCTGGGTGGGATCTAGGCAGGCTTTCAGGAGGAGGTGGCACTTGTGAAAACATTAAAAAGTGGTCCAGGGGCTGAGGATGGAGCTCAAGTGGCGCAGCGCCTGCCTGGCAAGTGTGAGGTCCTGAGTTCCACTCTTGGTAGCCCCCCCACCCAAAAAAGTGGTCCAGGGGGTGAGAAGTTGAAAAGGAGCTGTGGTCGAAGACGGACGGACAATACCCGATCACCCTGAGTTCCCTGCAACCAGGACCTAGGTGGATTAGAGAGGGCAGGTGGGGGATGGACTTGGATGCTGGTGGATATCATCAGCCCCACGGGGGCACTGATTCAGAGCACTTGGTACATGCAGTAGCTTTTGCATGGTCTTCTCTGCGCACCCTGTGTATCCAGATTTCACACACAGGCACATCACCTCACTATCCTGCCCTCCCTGCGAAACCGTGGATCCAGCTGCAGAGGGGATCAGAGTCCAGAGCTCTTTCTCTTTAAATTCTTTTGTGACTAGAGATGGAAGGTTACTCTAATTACCGCCAATTACCTGGAACAATCTATCCTTTGGTTTCCGGTGACAAATTCATGAAATTACCACAGTGAGCTAATTACCAAGGGTACAAGTGTGAGGCATCTTGCAGAAGTGTATCCGCTACAGTCAACTGCATCTCACTTGCATGTTCTTCCAGAGAGTCCAGGACATCTCCTGTTGGATAGTTAAATGATGCAACCTCAGTGTGCCTGGATTCCTATTCCCAATCATAGAGGAAGACATACATACCGCCCATAATTAAAAGGTGAAATAGATCATGACGGTGGGACTTATGGTCATGATACTGGCTGGGAGGAGCACTGAGTGACCTGCAAACTTCTAGAACCTTGGCTCCAGGTGAGCCGCCTTTGGGGTGGGCACCTGTCCTCTCTCACCAATCATCTCCCACAGACCTCAGTGCTAATTGTGGCTTAGCAATGACAGTCATTAGACGGGGATTTATGGGACACAGGCAAGTGCAGGCAGAGTTGCTCATACATTTGCCTTTCCATTGGCGCCACTGGGTAGCACTCCATCACACTGCAGTTAATCTGAGGACCTGAGTTCGAATCTCAGCTTTAGCACTTTGAATCTCCATGGACTTGGAGAAACTGAGCCACTTCTGCCAGATCTGCTTTTTACATTTCCATAGAAGAGAAGACACTCTCTTTTCCCCATGGCTCCCTGGGACGAGGCGAGCCCAAATCAGAGCAGAGGTGTAGAAAAGCCGTGAAACCCTGTGAGGGCACAACTACGAGGTCTTAAGAAGACCCCTGAGAGTCAGGGTCCACAGGGACCCTGGGATCCGCTTTGCTGGCATCTGCCAAGCCCTGTTTCCTAACTTCTTGTGAAAGGAAAGCAGTGAGCCTTCATGCCTGTGTGATGATGGACAGCAGCTCTTGATTGTACAGCTCCTCTTCAATTCCATCAGCCAACAGCACTTCCAGATGGTGGTGATAGGTGAAGTGACATCTGGAGATACCTTAGGAGGGGCTTGGGACGCTTCAGGTCCTCCAGGATAGAGAGGGTGGGAGAGAGAAAAGGAACCTGAAAGTGGTTCTGGGATTGTCGGGCGTCTGAACAGGGACAAAGAGCAGAGGGAAAACCACCCACTCTGCAGTTTCTCATATGTAGTGACGAAATTGAGCTTTTGGCGACAATACCAGGATCTCCCAGAGCAGCGCAGCTCAGCTCAGCTCAGCTCAGGCTACTCTCAGATGCTCACACAGAATCTGACCCAAGGAAGGACTTCCGCACCTGGGCAACTGTCTAAAGCCTGGAAGAGAAGCCTCACTGGGGGCCTCCCGGGACACCTTTGAAGCCAGGGAGACCAAATGCACACAGTCAAGCTTTGCAGCAGCCTGAGGATGAGTGGAAGCAACTCCAGAACTCTTTCTTCCAGTTCTTTTCTATGTGTTACCCTCAGGACACACGAGCTCAGCTCCCTGCCCTGTTACCCAGCACATTGCTGGCCCTAATAAAGGAAGAGATTGCAGAAAGATCAAGGAATAAGGGAAAAACAAGCTACTGATGACAGCAAATGTGCTTGGTCTTGCTCCCTAAATTCAGGGCAAGTCTGGGTCTCCCTCCACAAATGTTCTTGGGTCCCTTTCCTTGCCAGAAACCTCCAGGAGGCTCTTCCAACCTGGAATCTTCCCAATGAGGTAAGGCTGAGCTTGGGGCTGGAATCTGCCCCTTAGTCCCCACTTAGCCTCCCAAGGGGCTCAGGTGCCTCAGCCCAAACAACTCCAGGTGGACACAGCTGACTTCTCCTCTACTACATCAGTAAAATGCACAGAACACAACTTACTTCCCTAGCTACTGCGCAGCTTGGTGGTCTTAAGGACACATGATTGGGCAACTGCTATGCTTTAGATCAATGATGGCAAAACTTTTAGAGCTTTCATTGTTAACAAACAGCCTGCTACAGCATGTGTGCCATAGTTTCACTACCACAGCTAGATCTAGGACGTCCTAAAAAGTCTCCTGCATTCAGAGGGGGTGCGTTTGGAAGGTGACTGGGTCATGAGGTGCTATGCTCATCAGTGGATTCATCCTGTGCTGTCAGGAGGTGGGGCCTGGCCTGAAGAGGAGTTACACCCTGGAAGGGTGCAACTTTCTCGCCGGCTCCCTTCTCTCTCTCTGATTCCCGGCCACCATGACGTAAGCGGCTTTCCTCCGCCCACACCCTTCCGCCATGCTCTTTCTGCCTGGGAGTCAGCTGACTCTGGACAGAATCCTCCAAAAAACGTGGATTGAAATAAACTACTCTTTAAGTTGTGGGTGTTGGGTGTTGTGCCAGCGACGGGAAAGTGACTAGCAAAGCAGCCATCAGCACCATTCATCTCCAGATCCTCTCTGTCTCCCACCAACTGCAATTCTGCACGTTAAACTCCAGCTCTTTCTTCCCCTCCCAGCCCCCGGCGACCTCCACTCAGGAATCTGTTCCCGTGGATTTGCTACTCCAGGTGCCTCGAGTAAGCATTTATCCCTTTGCGTCGGGCTCATTGGGCTGAGCATAGTGTTTTCAAGGTTCATCCACGTCGGGGCGTGTGCTAGAATTTCCTTCCTTTTAAAGGCTGAATAATCTTCCACGTGTGCCTGGGCCGCATTTAGCTTGTCTGCTTGTCTGTTGAGGGACACAGCCTGTTCCCCTGTCACAGAGCTGGCCTTGACCGCTTGCCCTCCACTCAGCTGGAGTCTAAGTCTAATGAATTTTGGGTGAGCCCCCAACCCCATGAGATTTGGGAGGACACATGCGGGACTCACCACATGCACAAAAATACTTCATTATACTAAGTAACACGTGTGTGCTTGTGGGAGGAAATTTGGAAAATACAGCAAAGTGTGAAGAAGTACCTGTTGCCTGTAACCCATGCCCCAGAGAGCACAGGTGACCCAAGTACACACTGGGATGGAAGGATGAGGAGCTGGGAGCAAGATGGCACCGACAGCTCTCCTGAGAGAAAGTCTGCTGTGCTGTTGCCTTTGCAGAAGAGCAACTTGGAAGAAGCCCCTCAAGGACCAGGATGCCAGATCCAGCTGCCTAAGCTCACCAGGGCCGCAGAAGCTGCTGGGGCCAGGCCGGGTGGATGCTGTAAGGGGCGTATGCATGATTTGCAGGGGAGTAGCTTACATACAGGGAAAGCTGCCCTCCCGGGAAAGCTCCAGGCCTGGGGTGTGGACAGCAGCAGCCCCAGCGAGGCGGAGCCCAGGGTGACTCCCCCTGGCTGACTCCCCCTGGCTGACTCCCCTTGCCCGGCTGCTCTGTCTTTACCCCCTGGGGACTATCTTGAGACAGCTTTCCCGAGCAACCCCACTGGGAACCACTGGCTTTCTCCACCTGCTGGCTGAGAGGTTTGGGGGCCAGAAAGGGATCAGGCACCTCTCAGAGAGCTGGGACAAGGTAGGGAAGCCTGGGGCAGGGTGGGGTGCTGTGTGGCACCAGGGTGACTGGTATTCAGGGGCACCAGTCTTCCAAGGGAATGGGGGTAAATGTAGATCTCAGTTTCTGCTGAGTCTTTGATTTGAAACCCTCTGGGAAACTGGTGCAGGGAGAGTTCCCCTACACTGGCACAGCCTGCTAGAATAAATATGGCCCAGAGTGACTGACTCTCATATCAGACCCCTCCCACACCCTGCCTGCCCCCAGGTGGCACCAGCTGTCACTGTGTGATGCTGCTGGACCGCAGAGCAGTGACAACCATAGAGCAGCCTGAGCCCTGGCCCAGTCCTGCATGCGACGGAACAGTCCATGTGTCCCCTGTGCCCGCCCCAGGGAGTAGGCGTGGCAGTGTGTGACCCCATCTCTCGGATCAGATGAAATCCCAGTGGGGCCGAGCACCTAGGCCAGGACTCAGCCACACTTGCAAACCCCAGGTCAGTTCTGTCCCGGGAGGGCAGAACGGAATGATGTGACAGGTCAGGGCATGCAGGGGGTCCTCGGGGGTCTCTGGGCTCACTGCTGAGAGGTTGGGACAGGCTGGGGGATGAGAATGACCTGCAGAAGCGGTTTCATGACTCCATTAACAATAATTCTGATTCTTCCGTGTATGGGATGGTTTGCTTTATTTAATTTTCAGTACTGAGAATCCAGGGTCTTCCCACTGAGCTTTTCCCTAGCCCTTTATTTGTTTATTTTCTTTAAATTTTGAGACAGTGTCTTGCTAAGTCACTGAGTTGCCCAAGCTGGCCTTGAATTTGTGATCCTCCTGCCTTAGCCTCCACAAATGCTGGGATTCCCAGACTGACTTACATTTTTTAAGCAGTTTCTTACCTATATTCTTTTTTTAGAAGTTGTAGTTAAAATAGACATACAATTTACTATTAATGGCATGCAGTTAGTGCATTCAAAACATTGTGCAACCATCACCACTAATTCTAGAACATTCTCACTATTCCAAAAGGAAATCCTGGACCCATGGTCTGTACCGAGAACCAGTGTTCTATCTCTGGGCTGTATATACGGAGCACCTGAGCAGAAGACATTCTGTCCTCCTGAGAAAAAGGGTCTTTTCTGTTCTTTTCTTTTCTTTTTGCTTCTCTTCTCATTTCTTTTCTTTTTTCTTTTCCTTTCTTTTCTTTTCTTTTTCCTTTCCTTTCCTTTCCTTTCCTCTCCCCTCCTCTCCTCCACTCTCCTCTCCTCTCCTCTCCTCTCCTCTCCTTTCCTTTCCTTTCCTTTCCTTTCCTTTCCTTTCCTTTCCTTTCCTTTCCTCTTTCCTTCTTTGTTTTTCAGAATGGGGTCTTTGTAGCCCAGGCTGGCCTTAAATTTACAGTAATCTTCCTGCCTCAGTCTCCCAAGTGCTGGGATTATAGGCATGAGCCACCATGCCTAGCTAGGGTTTTTTTTTTTTTTTTTTTTTTTAAAGGCCAATTTGAATGTGTAAACTTTTATAAGTTTTTTTTGAGACAGGGTCTCACTATGTATTCTTAGTTGCCCCTAAACTCACTAGGAGCTCTGGCTGGCCTCAAGCTTGTGGCAATCCTCCCGCCTCAGCTTCCCAAGTGCTGGAATTATAGGCCTGTGCCACCGTGCCTAGCAAAATGTGTAAACTTTCAAAAGTGGTGTGCAATGTTATTTTAGTGACACACATTTTGAATCACACAGTAGATAAAATAATACATAAACTTAAGAATGTGCTCCCTCCCACTCTCCCTGCTGGAGACATCTGGGCAGTTCACCTAATCTTGATGTCAGTGTCTGTCTCATGCCCAGGAGCCTGCCTGCATCAATCAGCTGCTGGGTTCTACCCTGTCTTCACCCCACATCAACCCTCCAAGGAGGGTTGGGTACTTCTTACTAATCCAGAAGGTGTTCATTTTCTACATAACAGCTTTGTGAAATACAATTCATATACCATAAAATTCACCCTCTAAAATATGTACAGTTTGGAAGCTGGGGCAGAGTGGTGTACACCTGTAATCCCTGTGCTCTTTGAGGCTGAGGCAGGAAGGACACAAGTTTAAGCCCAACCTAGGTAACTTAGTGAGACCTTGTTTCAAAGTAAACAGTAAAAATTAGGGGGTTGGGGTTGGCCTGGGATGTTGAGATAGCTCAGTGAAAAGGCCTTGGTTCCAATTCCAGTACCCCAAAAATACAATTTGGTGCATCTTAGCATACCTACAGGGTGGTGTGAGCACCGTGCCGTGCCATTCCAGAACCTTTCCGTCACCCTAGAAGGAGATGCAGCGATCTTGAATTAGTCACTCCTTCCTCCTCACCGTCGCAGTGTGCGCCCCCAATCTGCTTCCTTCCCTGTAGATTTACCTACTTGGAGCACCCACACACAAACAGGCTCAGGATAAGCGGCTTTTTGTTGCTGGCTTCTTTCACTTTGTGTAAGGTTTCCAAAGTGCATCTGTGTAGTGGCACATGCTGGTCCCCCTGATGGCTGAAGCACGTTCCATTGTGTGGACAGCTGCATGTTGCACTGTGTGGGAAGCTGCCTGCTCCCTTGTGTGGATAGCTGTGTGTGTTCATCTGCCCATCAGCTGGCGGTCATTTGGGTTCTTTCTGCCTTTGGCTGTTGTGAGTCGTACCATGTCCTTCTGTTAACCTCCCTGTGCAGAGCGATCACCCCCATCGTGCAGATAAGGCACTAAGGCCAGAGCCGTGAGGACGTCATAGAGGACGTCACAGCCTCCTCTTTCCAGCAACCCTGCCAGCCCAGCACCCTGAGGCTCTGCCAGAAGTGTCAGTGTTCATCCCACGAGCCCAGGTCTGCCCTGCTCCTGGTGTCCAGGGGAAGCCATGGGCCCCTTTTGTCCTGCATTCCTGTCCTTGACCAAACTCGGCCAGTGGTGGCTCCTTCTGGTGCCGGCAGGTGAGTGGGTGTCATCACCAGGACTTTGTGTCCCCTGTGCACCCCCAGGCTGTGTGGAGGGCTCTCCCCCAGGACACGCCTCACAGTTGTCCAGGTTGCAGGGGTCCTGAGAGGTCATCAGCCAGGCGCTGGGTTCCCAGGGAGAAGCCGGAGGGGGCTTCACAGCTCTGGCATTAGCAGCTGTGTCGCCTTGAATGTCCCAAGCTTCAGTGTTCTTCATCTGCAAAGCAGAAATAGTTCTGCGGACCTCCCAGGGCTATTCTGGGGACCAAACCATGCTCGACTAGCACCTGGGCTCTGGGGGGCGCTCGGGACACCCACGTGTCCCCAGTTGTCACTGCGGTGGCCTCTGTCCCAGACGGCCTGCTGCTTTCTGGGTTTGGGAGCTGGCACTCTCCACCCGCGTGGGCAGCAGAGCCTTGGAGAAGGGAGCCTGGTTGCGGAGCCCAGGGACAGACTTCCCGGCACACAGTGCTGCAGCACTCTGCCTCGCGGCAAGTGCCAGGGGTGAAGACAGATCTGGGGTGACGAGCTAAGAGGCAGAGGAGGGCTTCCTGGCTGGCTTTGGCGGTTCAGCCCCATGAATGGGAGCCATGGCTGTCCCCCGCCGGCCACAGTGGGGAACACCCGCCTGCAGCTCTCCCAGAGTGGTCCAGGCGCCTCCCTGCGCCCCTTGCGGCTCCTGGGTTCCACGCTGAATTTCATCTCTAAGTCTGGGCATCCCTGCTCTTTGCTGCACTGTCCCCCTTACCTGTCTACTCTCACAGAGCACTGACATTAGTGAGTGCCGACGACAGGGGATTTGGTAGACATCCTCGTTCCTCCACGGGGATGCGGCCGGGGCTGGACTCACATCCCCATTAGTCAGAGCAAACAGAGGCTCAGTGACTTGGGTGCCTTTGCCCTGAGGGGAGATGGACAGGAAGCCACGCACCTGCTTCTTCCGCCTCCTGGGGTCCCCCTTCTCTCCCCATCCCGCAGTGCTGGCACAGCGAGGCCCTCACACCCAGGCCGAGGATCGCCTCTTCAAACACCTCTTTGGGGACTACAACCGCTGGGCGCGGCCGGTGCCCAACACCTCGGACGTGGTGATCGTGCGCTTCGGACTGTCCATTGCCCAGCTCATCGATGTGGTGCGCCGTCCTTCCACGCCATGCCCCTTGCAGTCCAGCCTGGGCCCACCTGGCTTTCCCAGGGTCCTCCAGCCCGCTCACCCCTCTGCAGCCACAGCTGGGTCCCTGGTCCTCCTCCTGCGCTCCCTCCCCGTCCTGGCCCACACGCCTCTTGGTGGGCCTGGTGCCGGTGGCAGCATGAGAAGAGGGGCCCTCCCAGGTGGTCTCTGTCTTCCCGGAGGGTTGTCACTCTGATTGCTCTTTCTCTCTCTCCACTGCTGGCCAGGATGAGAAGAACCAGATGATGACCACCAACGTCTGGCTAAAGCAGGTGAGGGCTACGCCAAAGGAGAGGACAGGAGCCCCCTAACAACGGCCCCTGTGGGACCCTCTGCTAACCAGGGGCCAAGGAGAAGCCGGATACAGAATTCACAGTTCCTAAACCGTGGCCACTTACAGTGTCCCGAGCTCATGGCACTGTCACCCACCCCCCACAAGAGGGTTCACTCTGCCCATTTGACAGCCAAGGCGGGTGAAGGGCAGATTTTAGCGGGCATGAAAAGGGGGGTCTCGGGTGTACCTTACTCTGAGACCCAGAAAACTCTGAGTGTTCCATGTCTGTGCTGCCTGAAAAGACCCCAAAGTTTAGTGGCTTAAAGAGATGACCAGCTTACCATGGTTCAGGGTTTTAAATGCTTTGCGTGACAGAAGCTAGGGAACTTGGTATCTGGCTGGTGGCTGAGTCTGTTCTGGAGTCTAAGATGGCTTCCCTCATGTGCATGTCCCTGGATGGGGTTGTGTGGAAAGAGTCCAGAAGGCTCTAGAAGGTTCTAGAAGGCTGGCCCAGGCTTCGTCCTTCCTTGTTAGGCACTCTCAGGGTCATTCTCTGGGCAGTTTTCCTGTGGGGGAGTTGGATTCCCACCTGGTGGCTCAAGGCTCCCAGAGGGATGGTCCCAAGAGACAGCAAGTGGAAGCTGTTAGTCTCATGTCTGTACCCTGGCCCAGCATCAGTCCTGCTGGCCATTGATCCAAAGGAATCCAGCTGGATCCAGGGGAGGGTATAGATCCTGCCTGTTAGAGGAAGAATGTGTGGCACACTTTGATGTGCCGTGCCAGAACAGGCTCAGGGACCAGCCCTTTTTAGAGCCCTTCCCTACCCCTCACACTCTGCCCCCTCCCAAGGCTCTGAGGTGGTGGGAGACTGTGAGGAGGAGCTGGCCCCTGCCCGTTAGTGCCTGCTCCTTCCTATGGCAGAGGGGAATGCACAGAAGACCGCAGGGACAGAGAGCGTGCCCTGTTTGTCTGCCTCCCTGGGCTCTGGATGGCACAGGCTGTGTGCCAGGGACTCAGATCTGAATTAAAGTAGGAGGCTTTGGGCAGATCCCTTCTGACACCATTCACTCCAGAGCTGGGGGGTCCCCGGGTTCCCCTTCACAGATGTGCCAGCTGGGGTTGGAGCAAGGAAAGGACGTGGAAAGCCGCACAGTCATGCAGCGCTGAGGGAGGGGTAGGCCTAGAACCTCGGTTGCCCCATTGTCCCCGTGTCCTGGTCATGTGGGTCCTGCTGGGATGACAAGGAAAGTGCACTGCAGAGAGAGCCAGGCCTCCCGTGGCTGCCCCTGACAGCCCCAGATGCTGGGCTAGCTACGCAGCTTCTGGGAGCCTCACTTTCCTCATCTGTAAAATGGAGAAGGTACCGTCTACTGTCTCAGGCTGGGATTCATGTAGGTGCCCCAAATGGTGGCTCACCTTGCAAACTTGACAGATGGGCTGGAGAGAGCACAGGAACCTAACTTAGGGATAGAAGAATGGACTTACTTGGACTTGCTTGGTGGAAGTGGGGGTGGGGCCCAGAGCACCCCTCCCTGCAGGAGGCGACTCTCAGCCCCTGAGGGGTGACTCTGGAGCACAGCCTGAAGGTCACAGGTGACCACCCTGTCTCATCCACGGACCTCTGCCGGGTTGGTTCCACCTCTCTGCTCCTCTGTGCCCTGCTCCGTGAAATAGGAAACACCTGCACCTGCTCGGCGTTTCCTGCCTGGCTTTCCAGGGAGGCTCTTCCCAGATGCAGGGCGTAAAAATAACTGCAAGGTGTGATGCCCCGGAAATGAGTGGCTGCAGATGCAGATGCAGGAAGTGCCCACTGGGGTCGGCCCTCGGGCAAGGCAGACGGAGGACCGGGCAGCCAGGAGGCCAGGACTCTGGAGGAGGTTGGGTACCTGACACTGGTGCTGCACACGCAGCTCGGAGCCCTCTGTTCTGTGGGGCTGTTCGGGGAGCTCCGGGGACCCAGGCCCTGCCCAGGCAGTGCAGTGACGAGACCCCTCGGCCCATAGGAGTGGAACGACTACAAGCTGCGCTGGAATCCAGCTGACTTTGGCAACATCACCTCCCTACGGGTCCCTTCCGAGATGATCTGGATCCCTGACATTGTCCTCTACAACAAGTAGGAAGTGGTGGGGCTCCCCAGGGGGACCTAGGAGGGTGTCAGCAAGGGACTTGGGAGGGGGGTGCCTGCCTCCCTTTTACCTGCTTAGCTTTTTCCTTTATTTCTTTTATCTCTTTCATTTTTCTCTTCCACGCCTATAACCCAACATTTATTGAGCAGCTACTGTGTACCATTACCTAGCACTGCTAGTGGGACAGACTTGCTTGCTCTGAGTAGGCTTTGAGACACACAGTGCCCGCTCTGTACACATGCCCATGGCTGGAGCTGTGCAGGGTGGCACTGTAGTTGGAACCGGTGAGTGGCAGCCGAGGGCAGAGACTTTGAAGGGCACGAACTCACTTGGTGTGATTTGCGCTTCATAGTTATTCATAGCTGCTTCACAGGCATCACCAAGGAGGACCGCTCTGACCACGGGAACTAGAGGCTCAGAGGAGGTAGGGGAAGCCTAAAAGAGTCCAGGGGAGCAAAAATTAGTGCCGTGGGACTCAAGTCCCCACTCCCACCTCTGCCTCAGGAACTAGTGTCCAAGATCCTGCGTGCTGGCAGAGGTCAGGAGCAAAGTCCTGGCATCGATGTGACTTGGAGTTTTCAGGCCTTGACAGTGTTACTTGACGATCACAAGAAATGCTTGTGAAGGGCAGGACAGAACCCTCGCAGAGACTTAGAATCTCCTTCACCAGCTCCAGTAGTCAAGGAAGCTGTTACTGCTTCTCCAAAATGGGAGCCTGTGGCCATCTAGTGGCAATTATGTGAAATGACCAAAGTGTCTTTTATTTAAAAATTTAGGGTTTTTTGTTTTGTTTTGTTTTTTGCTTTTTCAAATACTAGAGATTGAATCCAGGGCCTTTAAGCTGAGAGATATCCCTAGCCCCTTTTTATTTTGAGACAGAATCTCCCGAATCCCCTAAGTTTCCCTTGCTGGACTTGTACTTGTGATCCTCCTGCCTCAGCCTCCCAGAGTGCTGGGATTCCAGGTGCTTACCACCATGCCCAGCTCAATTTAAACTTTTGACTGACATGTTTATTATTCCCTTTCAATATTCCTGTCTCCTGCTTGTCCATATCTCTACCCTGAAACTATTGGAAGAGAAAAAAGTCTCTTTATTCTTGTGTATTCTGATTCCTGGGCTTTAGAATTTCCCATTGGAATTGGAGGGGAAGAGATGGTGCTAGACTGGGGCACTAAGCCCACTGTGCTACTGTTCAAGGGGACTCAGGGACTCAGGTTCTATCACCATCTTTCCATGTCCCAGAGTCCAGATGGGTCACTGGGTCCCCACTACACTCCTCTCCCCACCTTCGCCCCATCTGTCCTTGTTCCCTTGAGACCCTCTGCTAGCACACTGTCCTTCCATCTCTCAGCCAGACCCTACCCTGCTCAAGGCCTTCATCAAACGGCAGCCTCTGGGATGACCAGGATGGTGTCTCACTTTCCTCAGGCCCTAGGGAGTGAGGCTAGCTAGAAATACATGCTAAATGCAGGGCTCCCCGAAGCACTTTCACCAGCCAAAGTGCTAGGTCCCACCTGAAGAAAGACTAAAAGATCCAGGCAAAAAAGCAGTGACCCTCCTCCACCTGAGGGCCGACTCATCACCTGCTATGAAGGAAAGTATGTCACTCTAAAAACGAGAAATAACCACTCTAAAATACAAAACTAAGAAAAATAGGCAACAAAACTCCATAAAGCTCATGATCTCAAATATGTACTACTGTTATGAAAATGGTCTACATGGCAGTCAAACATGAGGTGTGATTGAAATGTACAGTGGATGTTTAAAATTTTTTTAAAAAATTTATTGTAGTAAAAGACACATTGCTGTGAACCCCCCTCAAAATACTCCTTCACTTCAAACACACTCATCCCACTGTTCTTGTCACTTTTTGAAGCAGTTCTGGAAGCCCTCTTTCTCAATATCTTCAGGGGTGTCCTCAAAAACGCAGTGAATGCTGCTGCTGAGTGCCATGCAATGGAAAGGCAAGCTTGTAAAACGTTACAGGATGTCCTCATCCACTTTATTCAGTGACTATGGCAACGTGCCAGTTCTGGCTCTTCCCCAAAGTCAAAATGACCATGAAAGATAGATGCTTCGAATCAATTCAAGACATGCAGGGAGCCCTGACAGTGCAACTAAAGACACTCATGAAACAGCTCTTCCAGAAACGCCTCCGAAAGCAGCAAGAATAATGGGGCAAGTGTGTTTGAAGCGAAGGACGGTTTTTTGCGGGGAATTAGTGGCAATGTGTTTTTTACTGTGATAATTTTAAAATTTAAATCCACCATGTTTTTCACGCACAGCACCCATATATGATACATAAACAATAAAATGTTAATAGTAGTCATTTTAAAAATTCTGTATACTTCCCACTGTTCTCCAAACTTCTTACTTTTGCAAGGAAAGCAATGCTATCTGAAAAGGCACTCGGGTACGTGTGTCTGCTCAGAAAGATTCACACTCCTGCAGAGAATGCATGCTCGGCTGTGTTTGGGGGTTGCCCTGCCTTGGCTCTCTGGCCCGGTGAGCATGCAGGGCACCCCAGCTTGTCTCCTCTCCCCAGTGCTGACGGGGAGTTTGCCGTGACCCACATGACCAAGGCCCACCTCTTCTCCACCGGCACCGTGCACTGGGTGCCCCCGGCCATCTACAAGAGCTCCTGCAGCATCGACGTCACCTTCTTCCCCTTCGACCAGCAGAACTGCAAGATGAAGTTCGGCTCCTGGACCTACGACAAGGCCAAGATCGACCTGGAGCAGATGGAGCAGATGGTGGACCTGAAGGACTACTGGGAGAGTGGCGAGTGGGCCATCATCAACGCCACGGGCACCTACAACAGCAAGAAGTACGACTGCTGCGCCGAGATCTACCCCGACGTCACCTACTACTTCGTCATCCGGCGCCTGCCGCTGTTCTACACCATCAACCTCATCATCCCGTGCCTGCTCATCTCCTGCCTCACCGTGCTCGTCTTCTACCTGCCCTCCGAATGCGGCGAGAAGATCACGCTGTGCATCTCCGTGCTGCTGTCGCTCACCGTCTTCCTGCTGCTCATCACCGAGATCATCCCGTCCACCTCGCTGGTCATCCCGCTCATCGGCGAGTACCTGCTCTTCACCATGATCTTCGTCACCCTTTCCATCGTCATCACGGTCTTCGTGCTCAACGTGCACCACCGCTCGCCGCGCACGCACACCATGCCCCGCTGGGTGCGGCTGGTCCTATTGGGCTGCGTGCCCCGGTGGCTGCTCATGAGCCGACCCCCGGCGCCGTCCTTGGAGCTCCGCGAGCCCCCGGGCCTGAAGCTCAGCCCCTCTTATCACTGGCTGGAGACCAGCGTGGATGCCCAAGAGCAGGAGGAGGCGGAGGAGGAAGAGGACGAGGAGGAGGAAGAGGAAGGATGCGTGTGCGCAGGTCGCCCAGCTCCCTTCGCGGGTGCCCTCTACGGTCGCAGCAGTCTGCACCCAGGGGCGTTGGGGCCCAAGGCTGAGCCTGCGTCATGGGAACGTGAGGTCTCGCTGTCCTCTCACATGCAGAAGGCCCTGGAAGGTGTGCACTACATTGCCGAGCACCTGCGGTCAGAGGATGCCGACTCTTCGGTGCGTGTGGGCCGCGCGAGGGCCTCTCTCCTGGAGGTTCCACCAGCTTAGCAGAGGACCTCTTATCTCAGGAAGTTAGTTTGGGCCAACTCAGTCCCCGCTCTGGTCCTCTGGAGTCTGGAATCAATCGTGAGAGAGAGCATCTAGCTGGCAGCTGGGGGGACTCTTACTAGCAGGTGGCAGACCTTGAGATCAAAAAATGCCCCCTCTGGCTCCAGGCTGTGATCCCAGCACTCTGGGAGGCTGAGTTGGGGTGATTGCAAATTCAGTTTCCACATGAGGAGCTTAGCAAGGCCCTGGATCAAAATAAAAAGGGCTGGGTATGTAGCTCAGCGTGCAGGTCCAGGGTTCAGTCCCCAGTATTGCTGGCACACACGCATGCAGGAACATCCCCGCTCCCTCAGCCTAACTGGGAGGTGGGGAGCAGGAACAGCCTTCTCTCATCAGTGTCTGTAGGTAGGCGGGGTGGGGAGATGCCAGGATACACCAGGAGGGACCAAATGTGTCAGCCCGGGCAGTCCCCGCCTTGCTCTTTGTGCTGGAGGGTCGGCCCTCTCCTTCTCAGGGACTGGGCCTTTCCTGAACGCTGGTATTTGGCCTCACACACTGCAGATTCTTGGCTGTGTTGGGGGGGTCTCCCACCCTGGCCCCTGCCTTGTGTACGCATTGTTGAGCTCCGGAATTCATCCTAGCAATTGATGGGAGGAGGAAGTACCACAGATGATTGCTTGTTGAATAGATAAGAACAGTAATCATTTATTTGGGAGCAGCTAGGAGTCCGGACCCCCTGGACTGGGCTGTGAGCCCAAGCTCCACAAAGCCGCCGCCCCGCCCCCAGCCCGCCCTGGGTCCCAGCCACCGGCACCTACCTCCTCTGCAGGCCCTGCAGGGGCAGCAAAGTCTTCACCACCCAGTCTGGTGTAGCTTGTAAATCACTGTCCTGGGACACCGTGCCCCTAGGTGGCGCTAGCACATCCTTGCGTCTCTGTAGCTTCCTTTACCCAGACCTGAGAGTACAGACAACTCTGGGCCCTTGGAGGGTGGCATCGGGTAGGACAGGACCCTCTGGGAGGGTTGCCGAGCTTGGAGCTGACCCTTTCAGCCCCTCTCACGCACCCACCTCTGTACCTGCCCCGACCTTGGCTTCCCAGGTCTCCAGTCCACTGCTGCTGCCCCTGTGGTCTTCTTACCTGGACTGCGCACCGGAAGGAGCGCCCCCTTCCCTGGGCCGGGCTTCCCTCACGCGAGCCCTTTTGTGTCTGCAGGTGAAGGAAGACTGGAAGTACGTCGCCATGGTCATCGACAGGATATTCCTCTGGTTGTTCATCATTGTCTGCTTCCTGGGGACCATCGGGCTCTTTCTTCCTCCATTCCTGGCTGGAATGATCTGACCTCATGTTCCTCATGTTGGCGCTAAGGTACTGCCGCTGAGCATCTTCTGATATCTTTAACTTCAGCTGCCTCTAGGTGCCCTTTGGGTCAAGACCATCTGCCTGGGGTGCCTGTGGAGTCCCTACACTGGCCCAGACCTCGCAGCCTTCTTGGTGCAGTTCTTCTGGACATCACTGCACCATGTACTGTGATCTTCTGGATGTAGAGCCCTGCTTCAGAGGCCACCGGAGCTGGAAAAGGTGAAGGCATCTGCTCTGTGGAAGCCTGGGATGCGGCAGTGACAATGTGAGCTCCCAGAGGAGCAGTGCGGACCCTAGGAGTCTCGCTGGGGCATAGAGGGGTGGGACTAAGAGGAAGGGGAGGAAGCCTGGGTTGGAGAGGAGAAGCAACTTTTTTGTGGCTGCAGAAAGGTGCCCAGCGCATCAGGAAGTTACAAAGAAGGCAGATAGCTGCTTGCAGGTAACGGGCCCTGCCCCTCGCTTGAAGCACCTCTGAGGCCCTGCTCTCTTCCCCCTTCCTTGCTGCAAAGAGACCTCCGAAAGCCAGCCAAGCTGAGCCGTGCCTGGGGTGGGGGGCACTCTTGCACCCAAGTGTGCAGTGGACAGACACAAGGGCAACCCATCTGGGTCATTCTCATCCCAGCTCACACTTGCAGCTTGAGTTGGGCATGGTGGCACACACCTGTGATCCCAGCACTCTGGGAGGCTGAGGCAGCCAGACCCGAAGTTCGAGCCCCGCCTGGGCATCTTATGCGAGAGCATATCTCAAACTAAACAAAATTTAAAAAGAACTGGAGATGTAGTCAGTGTTCCCTGGGCTCAATTCCCAGTACCACAGAAAACAAAGCAGCTGCTGCCCCCAGCTTGTTGGGAAGCCGGCTCCTCTTCCCTTCCACGGGGCCTGGTCCCTGACATGTGCTTTACTTGGGGTCCCTTAGTCTGAACTTCTGTAGGGCAGGGCTGATGCCTTTTCTTTGTCTGCCTTCTCCAGCAGGGGGCACAGCACCAGACGTGTGGGATCAGCCCTGGGGATGCGTGGTCCATGAGGTGGGGGCAGCAGGCTGAGGCCTCAGGAAGGCTCCCTCCCAGCCTGGGTGCGATGGGCCAGCTGTCCAGGGGTCTGCGTGCCTTGCTCCTGTGCCACAGCAGGGAATGTTCCTTGGTGTCGGGGACGGGAGCCCAGACCTCAGCAGCTAACAGAGGTGGGCACTGTACACTTGAGAGAGTGTGAGACCCCAGGCAGGAAGTGGAGTGGGGGGAGCTCTCCATTTCCCTGCAGTCCTGGCACCCCCTGCCTCTGAACCCCCATATGCCTCTCCCAGGCAGGCTCAGGGAAAATTGTCTACCTGAGACCCTGGCCTTGCCCCCTCCTCAGTTCTCTCTTCTTCTCTGGCCTGGGCTCCTTCTCACTCTGTGAATGCAGCCCCCAGCCTCCCCTGGCCTTGCAGTCTCTCTGCTTGGTCCAGGCCCCCAGCTGTGAGCTCCTGGTCCAGGGATGCTCACCACATTGTTCCTGTCTCCTGTCCATCTTGCATGTGAGTAAAGCCATTAAATAAAGCCGAATCTACTGCTCAGCCAGCGGTGTGGCTTCTCCTCTCCAGCCACACTTCCATGTCATCAGCATCAGCCAGGGCCCTCCAGAGCCAGGAGAGGAACGTCACATGGAGGGGACTGCCCTTGGGTCGGGAGACCCCACTGCCCATATGGGGGCAACAGGCTGGAGCGCACGTGCCTACACTACCGAGTGTCACCGTACATCTTCCTTGGCCAAGGCCCAGGTCAATGGTCCCTTGGTCTGCACTCAAGATGACACATCGATTTCTTCCAGGACTACGGTTCAAGGTCAGCAGATCCAACAAACCACACAAGCAAACCACAAAGCAAATCGTACAGTTTTAATTCAACCACAAGTCAAATAGAAAGAAGGTAAAAGAATGTTCTACACAAACACATGAGAAAGGAAAGGAGCAGGTGAGAGAGGGGGAGAGAAAAGAAGGATTAGGAAGGGGAGGCAAGGGCAAAGTAAAGGAAGAAAGAGAAGAGGGCAGAAAGGAAGCAGGGTGTGGTCCAGAGTCCTGCTTTGGCTTCTGTTTTTCTGCTTCTTCCCCTGATGCCTGCTTTGATTAAAAACAAAACAAAACAAAACAAAACAAAAAAAACCTCGCAGCATCCTGTGCCCTGGTCCCTAATTGGCTTGTTCCTGGACTGTGTCCCAGATCCCCCTGTAGACAGTTGTCAGTCCAGACCAAACTCACATTAAATAAATTCCAATATACACTGTACAAGAAAGCCGGCCTGTCCCTCATGCACTAGCTTCCTGACCCCACATAAAGCCCCTCCCTGGCCCCTCTGTGCATCCGGGGTCCCTCGAGGGCTGAAGAGGAAGCGGGAGGGATGGTTTGGCTCTGAAATGGGCACACCTGTCCATGCATGAAGCCATCTCAGCTGTTAGGGGCCTCACTGTGACCCCAACAAGGTGCCTCAGCACCCAGCACGCAGGCTGGGGTGGGTGAGAGTAGCCGGCGGCAGCGCCCCCTCTGAACCATATGTATCACCACCTCCGTGTCCGTACCCAGAGTCCTTCTGTACAGACACAGCCTGAGCAGCACGGTTGGGGCAAGGTGGGGAGGGGTCGTGCAGAGTGAGGGGAAGGACTCCCCTCTGTCCTCCCCAAGAAGACCATATGACCAAAGGCAAGGCAGGGAAGGTGCAGGACAGGTTGGGGTGGAGATGCAGGCAGGTTGCCCCTGCTCTCTGTCACTCTGCTGGTGGGTGGGCCAGATTGGCCAGAACCTTGGCCTGGTCCACGGCATCCAGTAGGTTCTTGGCATCCACGGCCAGGGTGTGGGAGGCCGTGAGCATCTGCCGCTTGCACTCCTCACTCAGGGAGGTCACTGCATTCTGCTGCGCCAGCCGCATCTTGTTAATGAGCTCTGCTAGGTCTTTGTTGAGCAGTTTCTGGGTCCCCTCAATCTGTAGATAAAACAGCCCATGGAGGGCAAGGAAGGGTGTTGACCAAGGTAGGAGGAATTGGACCCGGGCCTGGGCTGAATTCAACCCTCCGTTCAGGATCCAATGGATATGGCGGGCGTCCCAGACCACTGGCCCTGACCCAGAGCAGCAGAACACCCTGCACAGAAACATCCTGACACTGGCTGATGTTCAAGAGACTATCGAGGCCGCGGTCCAGGGCACTAGGCCATGTTTTAGCTGTTTACTGTCAGACCAATAGATCAGAGGTGACATGTCTTTCAGCACCATAGCCCCAGCGTATATCACACCCGGAGCACATATAAAGTGCAAGAATATTGGTCAAAGGAAATGAGTGAGTGAGTGAGGTGAATGGCCATCCTGAGGGCACAGAGCCAGGTCCTGGGGGCATCTCAGTCCCCTGAGAGAGTGGCCCCTGCCCAGCTGAGCCCTCTGTGGGTTGTTGCCACCCAGAGGGAGGCCTGGGAATGTCCCCGGAGCAGCTACAGACAGTGGGGACAGTGACCGGATGTACCACGTGGCTGACCGCCAGAAGGCAGTAGTGGGTCGAAGGGCCCTGTGGGAGGGATGGTTGACAGCTGACTTCCAGATGGACAACTGTGACTGTCCAGCAGCAGTGGGTCAGCTCCCTATGGCTGTGATAAGAGACTCACAAAGTGAAGGTGTCAACAGCCCCGTGCTCCTCGGTGAAGAGCACCTTCTCCTGCCTTTCTCAGCCCAGAGAGGCGGCGCCTTGCCGGGCCCATGGCCCTCACAGCAGCGGCACGGCGCCAGCCTCAGCGTCTGTCCTTGAGTCCTCGAGTTCCTGTCTCTGACCCTGACCTCCTGCCACCCTCTTATCTGCTCCCGCCTGAAGATCCTTAACTCTATCGCACTACCAAGTCCCCGCTGCTGTGGAAGGTAACATGGGCACAGGCCCTGGGGACCAGCACGTGGACATTTTTGGAGACTGCGACATTGCCAGTCACATTGGTCCTTCTCACAGAGCACCAAGGGTCCCACGGGGACTTGATTTGCTGCTTCCTTGTGATTGTTTGCGACTGCAACGGTATATTCACCTTGTCAGTGCAGGTGTGCTGAGATAAAGGCTAATAGGAGGGGGAGGGGAAGGTCCCCTGCTCCCTGCATATTTTCAATTTTGCCTTGATTGTCTGAGACCTGAATAGGAAATTTGCGCTAGGTGCTGGCCAGGCCCTCAGCCACCTGCTGGGGACTCAGCAGGCAGAAAGGAGGCTGCCCAGGTGGCCCTGGGAGTCCCTATCTGTCTGGGACCTGGACACTTACCTCTGTCCTTGAAGATGATGGCAGGGAGGGCAAGAGGTCGTCCACACTCCCGATGAGCTTCCGCAGGGTCAGTCCCACATTCTGGGTAGAGGAAGAGACAAGGAAAAGCTTACCGCTTGCATTAACCTAGGACTTTCACATTGAGCTGCATCCCCAGCCCTTTTTTATTTATTTTGAGACAGAGTCCTGTGAAGTCACTAAGTTCTCCTGGCAGGGCTGGGATTTGGGGTCCTCCTGCCTCAGCCTACCAAAATGCTGGGATTCAAGGCATGTACCACCATGCCCAGCTTACCTCTTGCTCTTTGGGAAAGCTCACTGCCGCTGGAATGGGAGATGCCCTCTGAGGCTGCTCAGACCTAAGTTCCCTTTAACCACCTTGTACCACTGGGGCCTGCTGGGCTGGCCAAGGCGGGGCGCAGCCCTCTCCCTCAGGACTGGGATTCACAGCTGTCTCCGAGCCACCCCTACCCTCTCGCTCACCTTCACCACCACCACATAGCCCTCGGGGGGAAGCTGGGACAGTTCATTCTTGAGTTCCAGCACGGCCCGCACCAGCTCCATGACATTGAAGTACACCTGGTCGTCGGTCCGGTCCAGGTTGGCGGTGGGCTGGATGGACTGCAGGAGAGAAGGAAATGGCCAAGTTGGGAGGGGGGTGGCGGGGGGCCCCACTTCCTGTCCCCAGGGCTGCAGCACTGTGTTTTCCTCCAGGTCAGGGAGCAGGAAACTGAGTCATCTCTGCTCTTTCATGAATAACTCTGGGGCCTGCAGCAAGGACCTTTCCTTCTCTGGGATGGTCAAAAAATACAGTGAATGTTTAAATTTAAAAAGCTTATTAAGAAAATGAAGATGCGGTATATATCTGCACCAGCTCTCCACAATGAATGTGATCACTGTGTGCTTCAAATACGTACCAATAACAATATTAAAAGCCTTACTGCAGTTAAAGACATACTGCTAATAAGGGTGGGATTAGTGTGTTCAAGGCCAGGTGGGTATTGAAGAGTATTTTCAGGGAGAATTCATGGCAATGTGGTTTTTACTACAATAATTTTTTTAATTTTAGCATCCACCGTGGCTGTTGAGCACCTCTTGTTGACCAAATGTTTCTGGCAATTTCTGCCAAATAAAAACATCACGGTGAGCCCTCATCCCCCTTGTTCACTGGATCCGGCACCGTGTAACTTCCGGCTCTTCCCCAGAGTCAAAGTGACCATGAAAGGGAAATGTTTTGAATCGATTTAGGACACTGAATCAGCCACAGCAGCGCAACTAAAGACACCCACGAGAGAGGACTTCCAGAGCTGCTGCAGAAAGAAGCAGGAATGCTGGGACAAATGTGCAAAGTGACGGGGGAGTACCCTGAGGGGCATTCACAACAGTGTGTCTTTTCCTGTGATACATTCAAATCCAAACATTCACACTGTATTTTGATCACACTATGAATAGAAAGGACACTGCACCGAATTATTGCTAAGGGCCTTCGCAGTTTTCAAAGCCCATGGGCCCAGTCTTGTGGGACGCCAACCGTTAACTCCAGCTTTGGCCCGACAAGCACATACCTGTGTGCACAGCCGCGGCGGCTTCTGTGGGGGCCTGGTGAACTCCGCTGTAATGGGGGGGACAGGGATTGAGTGGGGGGGTCTCAGTACCCTTGGCCTTTCCCTGATAACCAACTGACCCCTCTCCTCTACCACCAGGAGACTGGGCACATTCGACCCAAAGCCCAGGAAGATGGCAGGGAAGCTAACACCCAGGTCTCTGGGGTCTTCCTGTGGTCACGAGCTCTGCTGTCCACTGTGTGGAGAGAAACCACAGTGACATCAGAGGTGGGGTGCTTGTGGGGCATCCCAGTCCTGCCGTGCTTCCTCCCTGAGGATGTGGGTCCTGAGGAACAGCCACACTCTGCCTTCTGCCATGCATGAGAAAGAGCCCTTCTGGTCTGCAGGCAGCAGGGTCTGCAGAGCCCCTGCTTAGCGCTGCCAGGCTCCCAGGTGGATGGGTGCGGGTTCTCTAATGGTTCATGGGCTCAAGAAAGCAAAGACACACACACAAGCCTGCGGAGTGGCTGGGGGCACGAGCAAGGGGTGGGAGGCAGAGCACCTGGCTCCTGGGTGGCAGGGGACAGCGTAGAGCCAGCGTAGAGCTCGCTTAGACTTCCTGGGCCTTTATAAGAAGGGACGTAAGAGTGAGACTGCCTGGACTCACCTGTGGCATTGGACAAGTTACATAGCCACCCCGTGCCTCAGTTCTATCCTTTGTAAAATGGAGATAAATTGTGCCTGTCCCACAGAGTTGCTATGAGATGCAATGAGTCAGTATTTGTACATGGCTGAGGTTATCTGTGGCTATGGTCTATCGTTGTCACTGTCATCATTAGCCTTGGCTCTTTCCTCCCGACCTTTGGCTCAGGCTTCTGGACACACCTTGTGGGCTTTGTCTAGGAGGATGAGTGCAAATGGGGGGAGGCAGGTGGAGCTACTTAACCTTCCACGGGGAGCCTTGACAGAGAGCGTGACTGGGAGACACAAAGGAGGACAGCACCACCAGCTCCTACACATGCAGAATAAAGGTTTAGGGACATGCGCCACTGAAAGAGACGAAGGGGCACTCCAGGCAGGAGGGAGCAGAGGGCTGTCCACTGTGAAGCCAGCCCACTCTGCTTGCTCAATTAAAACAAGACAGATGGTTCCTAGAACTGCAGGTGCACTGCATGGGCAGCGAGCAAGGCCAAGGTTCTGCGCAGACGCTGGACAGAAACTCCCCTGAGGAAGGGCAGAAGCACTCACTGTAGCCGGCCTCCTTCTCTGGGGTCTGCAAGGAAGTGCGGAAAGAGAAGGGTCACTTCTGTGGCCTGGGGACCACTCGCTTCCTGCTTCCAAGCCCCACCCCCCATGTGTTTAGAGATTTCAGCCATGGAGATTGAAGACCACCTTTCCAGGGGGCCGAGGCTGTGCCAAGGTGTAGAGCCATGTGGCTTCAGCACAAAGGGCCAGGACATGCTCCCA